TCTGATAATGTGAAAGACCAGCGGCCAGATTCACGAACCAGTTACGCAAGCATTTACGAACCTGTACAGCTTTTCACAATCTTTGGCCGCTATGTTTACAATTATTAAACAATTTATCAGCTCCGAAGACCAGGAGGCTGTTTATAACAATAACAACAGTTGATTGGGAAGTTGTCATGCTTGTAAATTGTTTAATAAATGTAACCAAAGCCGTCAAAGATTGAGGAAAGATGTACACGTTCGTGAGTACTTGCGTAACTGCTTCGTGAATCTGGCCCCAGGAGAGAAAGGGATATATATGTAACCTCAAAATCTAACACCAGAGGATTAGGAACGTTAGGAGAACAACGGTGGAAGCAAAATTCGAACTTGACAACGAGTGAAAAGACTTCAGTAATTTGATCAAAGAATCCTGTCAAACCATATATATCCATGTGACATCATCTCTTGAGCATCTTGCCACGGCACTGAACTCCTTCCTGAACAAAATACAAAAGGAAATTCTTAAAAGTGGAAAGACATTCAACGAGACTCATTCTTGACATGAGAGAACAGAGGTTTTGGGGGAACCAATGGATTCAGTCCTCACCACACAGGAGGAAGTGAGGAACAGGGAAAATTTGATAAAAGCAAACGAAATTTTATGGGAATTTACCAGGATGTCAAAAAGAAATGCCAGATTGGGCAATCCTTTTTGGAGGTGGGGGGCACAGATTGAAACAATATGCACATTTGTCACTGAGATGCCAGAAAGAACTTAATTCTGTAGGAGTTGCAAATGAATGAAATTAGCTTGAAGAAATAATTGAAGCTAACTCAATACTAAATTTTAATTGTAACTATAATAAAAGTAATTGAGTGATAGCGTCTTGTTATTATACTACTAATAATTCGAAATTAAACATAGAGCAACCTTACATTAATACAGGTCTTGTTATATATAAACAGAAAAAGCACTGCTTTCCATTAAAAATATATAAATATTTTAGATATGTTTCTCTTTTTCAACCCATTAACTGCGCAGATATAATGCCTAATATATAATTGCTTTGTCAGGATATTTCATTCATACTTCATTAAACCTTTCCAGCTCTCCTCCCACAACTCTCTCCAAGCAACGCCTTCCGCCTCAGGCGCCTTGAGCAGCTTTCTTAAAGTTTAACTTGTAACTTGCTTTTTCCTCTTTCCAGACACTCCCGACCCTTCCCATAATGCCTCCTATCCAGACGTCCACAGAGGTCCTCTTGCTTGCTTCTCAACATTCCCTACTCCCTCTTTTCTCACACTTCTGCGGGAAGAGCTGTGCCTTGTGTCTGGCACTATGACTGTTGGTGCTGGTGGCGGCTTAGAGTATTGTGTATCCTGTACTCATCCTGTGAGCGGAAGCGCAAAAAAAGGCTTACAGAGGGAGCCAAAAGGTCTTAATCAGATCTCAGTGGAGTTTGATATTATTAATTACGTATAACCTTCACACCTTGCAATTATTATGTAGTATTACAACATGTTCTAACTATGTATGCTCACCATGCCCTTTCCTTCCTCAAACTCCTGCAGGAGAGCAGGAGGGCGAGGCAAGCACGGTGATGTGCAAGCGGAGACGAGGCCGGTGCTCCAGAGTGGTCAACTACGCGATGGCGCTGGATCACGAGTGGGGCGCCGCGGCCTTGCGACTCTTCCTGCTCCTTGTGGGACTTGCTGCCAACGGTGAGTCCCGGATGACCTTCGTCTGATTATTATTATTAACATCTTTATTGACAAAATTAATTACAATTTTGCCTAATCTGAGGATTTTGATAGTCTTATTAAATTGAGGTTAATGCTAGTATTCACTGTCACGCAGGACAGAGGGTCATACATAAGACAATAGGTCTAAACTGTAGGCTGAAGCACATATATATCATGGTTACAATCAATGTTTTAATGTGTGGATATGTGAAAACAACTTTCTATTGTGCACTGCCACACAAGGGCAGGGATGGGTTCATAAGTGATACAGCTTAGAATATAAATAGAATTGTTCTTCATTCTTTAAAATGGACAAGCAAATTTTGGGTAAATTGTTAGGATGTCGTCCAGAACACCTGAGTCAATAAAATAGTTACACAGTTGGTGGTACAATAGGCCAGGAGGTCTAAAGTCCTTTACGGTTTCACATTCATCAATATAGTGTTCTAGTGAATGCATTAAAGGTTTATCACAGAGTTTACAATCTGAATATTCTGGTAGTGGCTCAGCCTCACTAACCTGCCAGATGTGTCTATAGCCAAGGCGAATTCGCGCAATTACTACATCACATTGCCTGGTCCGATTACTGTGCTGACCATACAAATACCTATTATTACAGAACTGTGTCATAACTTTTAATACTGCAGCTTTCAGGTCTCTGTGCATTTCTTAGTTCTTCTAAATCTGAATTAATTACTGAGTGTTCTATTCAGATCGATCAGGATGGCACGCTATAAGACGGGCATTGGCGAGCGACCAGTCATCCCCCGGTGTTAACTGTTCTCACCTCCTTGTGCATGTTGGGGTTGAGCTTCGGCTCTCTGAACCCGCCTCTCAACCGGCATTCATTCAATCAATAATGTTCGGTTATTTTCTCATGAAAAAGTTATCGATTGATTTATCTCTATCGCTGTATAAACAAAAAACATTAGTGTAATAGAGTTTATTCGTTTAATTTAGAAAATGATGCTTAATTTGCGTACGGAGCGTTACCATTAAAACTTGTAATATTATTTTTTCCGCTTTAGCTTCCTTGTTTGTGCCCATTTAGATAATGTATATCAGTTTGGTCTCTGTACTAAAGAACGGACATAATTTAACTTAAACACATACAGTGAATTATGACATAGTTAATCTCTGGGATTAAACTCCTTTTTGAAGAGAGATTAAAAAGCTTTATTTACTCTATATTAGGACGAAGAATTGTATAAATGGATAAAAGTGTATAAAAATAGAGATATAATTAAGGTTTTAAACTAATCAATCCATATATAACGCGAAATAATGATATTAATTGTATTAGATTCAGGTATTTACCTGAGTAAATACTGGTGTGCAAATAGGGTACTAATTAAAATTACAAGATAGCATAATAGACGTACGATCACTGGAATGTGTCAAGCACAGACTTGAGTGAATTTGGATGAATATAAATAGCACCTGAATTGAATGAACCAATAGATCTTCTGAAGTTTATTTTATTGTACTGATGTTTTTAAGATGTACGCACCATAGCCCGGCTTAAAAAAAAATTATTATTTCACCTGTTAAAGACGTTAATTGTCACGCGTAAGTATTTCATTTATAAACATGAATGACAGGTCATAGTCCCGTGTGTCTCCAGGTTGGAGTTTGCGGGTGTCTGGAGTACAGGTCCCGCCGGTGGTGATATCTGGGTCGACAGTGAAGCTCGAGTGTAAATACCACCACAGCACCGACCGTCCCGACCCGCTCTACTCGGTCAAGTGGTACAGGGATGTGAACCAGTTCTACGAGTACATCCCCAGGAGGACCCCGCCCATCCGGGTCTATCCGCTCCCGCATATCAATGTCGACGTAAGTGTATTAAATGTAATAATTAGTATTTCCAAGCTGAATAATTCTCTCGGTACTTTGTTTAATTATTTTTTTAGAAATAAATATATTTCCTTAAATGTTATTTAAACTGTAAATTGATTTTGAGTTGAGTATTTTGCCAACTACCACTATAGCATCCTCAAGGATCAAAGTTTCAGGCACATAAAAATAATGATAGCTTCATGACCTGCACAGCTATCTTTACCAACGCCTTAGTATGACTTAATAGTGAACAAATGGACACTTTATTCGCGGTTTCTGCCCGGCATCTGCATATCTGCATGAGGTCTATGCCTTCGATTGTCTGTAATGCATAGGTTCCAAGAATTCGCATACAAATCAATGTAAGTAATGATATCACGACTGGGCGCTGGCACAAGTCAGTGCCCGGTAGTAGGGAAAAGGAGACTTCAGACCCATAATTCTGACAGTCATACACGTTCTCCAGATGGAATCAAAATATTCCCCTGAAAGAATGATAGACAACTGGTGTGGCACTACACATACATATCCACTCTGTTGACCAGACCACACACTAGAAGGTGAAGGGACGACGACGTTTCGGTCCGTCCTGGACCATTCTCAAGTCGATTGTGTGGCTGGTACCTACATCTCCTTCAGTCTTGATCAGGCAGGTGGCGCAGCCAACCTCACAGTAGTATTCAAATATACTTAAATACTACCGTGAGGTTTGGCAACTGTGCCATCGGTACCTGTTTTCGCCCAATGCATCTGAGAGCCTGTGTCTGTCGAGCATAATATTAAGGTGGGAACTTCTTCCTGGAGAATTAAAAGGGCGCGCAGCCACCTTACCAATGATGATTCCTCCTCCAGCTGCACTTAAACAATTTATCATCTTAGCTGAAAATGCTCAGATTTCACCGTTATTTACCCCATGAAAGTCAAATATATAATAATCAGTGTTAAAATGTATAATATTGTTCACCGCTTAATGGATATGTAAACTTGACTTTTGTAGGGGATAGAATTCTCAGCTTCCTGTAAAAAAGTTTTACAGTATCTGTAAATTTATTATTAAGTCTTGACTAATTGCAAAATATATTGTTTTACGTATCTTATATAGAAAGATTTTTTTTTTATTATGCGCCTCTCTGAAAAAAAAATATGAACATGTGTCTCCGGCAAGAACGTTGCAAGAATATTTATCACCTGTACGAGAATAAGTGCGTCTGCGGTGATCTAAGACGCGAGTTCGATTCCACTGCCCTACTCCAAATATTTTCTCATTTATATATATAATGATACTGTCGTTTCATTGAGTATCACTTACAGCTTCAAATAAATACCTAAATATACAAATTTTGGTAACCTGAAGGAAACAAATAAAACTCTGACCAGTCAATAGAAGACAACAAAATTCACACATATATTTCTCAATGAGAAATGTCTAAAACTGAACACGTGAAGGCAAGCTCTGAGACCCCGAACCTTCAGTAAGCGGTGTAACTCTGAACATTATGTTGGAATATTATAAGGCCCTGGGGCCAGATTCGCGAAGTAGTTACGCAAATACTTACGAACCGGTCCATCTTTTCACAATCTTTGGCGGCTTTGTTTAGAAATATTAAATAGTTAATGAACTCCGAAGCACCAGGAGGGTGTTTATAACAATAACAGCAGTTGATTGGGGAGTTTTCATGCTTCTAAACTGTTTAATATATGTAGACAAAGCCGTCAAAAATTGGGGAAAGATGTACACGATCGTAAGTACTTGCGTAACTGCTTTGTGAAACCGGGTACAGATCCTTTTGTCGTGTAGAAGTACAATTTTTACAAGAAGTCTCATAGGCTCCTGCTAGATGTCTCATAGCCCAGGCGATAGAGCTTCGGCCTCATTTGTGGGAAAGGCATTGAGACTGTGTACTCCTGTGTGTGGAAGGCATGGAGACTGTGTACCCCTGTGTGTGTGTGACGCATGGAGACTGTACCCCTGTGTGTCTGTGACGCATGGAGACTGTACCCCTGTGTGTGGAAGGCATGGAGACTGTGTACCCCTGTGTGTGGAAGGCATGGAGACTGTGTACCCCTGTGTGTGGAAGGCATGGAGACTGTGTACCCCTGTGTGTCTGTGACGCATGGAGACTGTACCCCTGTGTGTCTGTGACGCATGGAGACTGTACCCCTGTGTGTCTGTGACGCATGGAGACTGTACCCCTGTGTGTCTGTGACGCATGGAGACTGTACCCCTGTGTGTGTGTGACGCATTGAGACTGTGTACCCCTGTGTGTGTGGGAAGCATATAAACTCTGTACATTCTATTGGAAATCAATGAAACCTCTTATTTCATGCTGGTAAATAATAGCTGTGTCTCCTTCAGAATGTGATTAGGACTTCACCATCTATGTAAAACTTCCTCCTTCAGGTAGGTAATTAGACTCTATCCTTCCTTCAGGGAAGCCATAAGACTCTGTACCTCCCGCAGGAGAGCCGCAGTTCGCGAGAGATAGTGACGCTGACGAAGGTGTCGAAGGAGACTTCCGGCAACTTTCGGTGTGAAGTGATGGGCGATAAACCTTTCTTCGAGACGGACGACCATGCGGTGAACATGACGGTGGTGGGTGAGTGTGACGCGGTGAACATGACGGTGGTGGGTGAGTGTGACGCGGTGAACATGACGGTGGTGGGTGAGTGTGACGCGGTGAACATGACGGTGGTGGGTGAGTGTGACGCGATGAACATGACGGTGGTGGGTGAGTGTGACGCGGTGAACCTGACGGTGGTGGGTGAGTGTGACGCGGTGAACATGACGGTGGTGGGTGAGTGTGTGACGCGGTGAACATGACGGTGGTGGGTGAGTGTGACGCGATGAACATGACGGTGGTGGGTGAGTGTGACGCGGTGAACATGACGGTGGTGGGTGAGTGTGACGCGGTGAACATGACGGTGGTGGGTGAGTGTGACGCTGTGAACATGACAAGGATCGAATGAACGAAATTGGAAAGCGAAAAGAAGAAAGAGATACAGAATGAAGATAGTGAGAGAGGTAGGGTGAGAAAGAGAGAACATATTAACTTAACACTGTACAGTATATATCAAGTAATTATCAAAAGATATATATAATTAACGCTGAGTTATTAATTGAATTTATTATTTTATATTACACAATTCTCGACTGACCTCAATTTTCTCTCCCCTCTGTACCCTAACCATCTTGCCCTCCAGACGTGCCTCTCTGGGGCCCTGAGGTCTGGGGGGTGACCCAGAACGAGAGGGTGCGGCCCGGGGAGGTGGTGGTGGCCCGGTGCCAGGTGGGCCAGTCTGACCCACCCGCCGACATCACCTGGATCGTCAACTCAGGGAGGGAACCCACCCTGGCCCACCATCGCTCCCTGCAGACTGACCGACGCGGCGAACGAATTCAAGTCTCTGTAAGTAATTAATGGAATATTCTCCGCCCCACCATCATTCACCCCCCCCCCCTCCCTCTCTACCACGCTACCTCTCATTCCCCCCATCCAACGCCCCCCCCCCTCCCCCCGAAAAAAAGTATTAAGTCCCAATTGGTTCGTTCGGGCTCTCCTTGAGAAAGTATTTGTCAACCACTCATCATATCCCCAGACGGTGTATTTCTCGGGGAATTTATGTTCTTGTCATTAAGCTCTTCTTACCAAACTTTGTCCCTGTGACCTTCGTTCTCCTTCCATCTAAACCTCGCCTCATAACTTTTCTCAGGCAATTTTCTGAACTTACAAAAAAATTAACGACCTCGTAAACTCGAATATTTGCAAATCTCAAATACAAGTAAAGTTTTGCGTTCAAAATGGTGCACAAGTTTCCCTCCTCATCAACTGAAGCTTCCTTCCACGTCAACCGAGGCCCTTACTTGTAATAGTAAGTTCCATCTGTAACTCTAATTGCCATAACGTACAAAATCCGACTAATTAGTTGACAGGACCGATTGACCGACGTCAGAGCTAAGAGAATACTTCATAAAGACCAAACCTCTCCTCACTTAATACTCATCAATGTTAATGCTATCAATTAGCTCGTTTGAATTTACTCTTGTCTACTGTAACATAGAACACCACAGAACTGACGCTTAGGGCATTAGTTTGATGATTACAGTATTTAGCTTTCGGTTTCTTACGCTTCTAAGGAGACAAAACCACTTCAAATGTTACGACTGACACACTGTGAGGATGGTCAGTGAGAGCACCGGTCTTCGGGGCAACCTATTTCTTTCTTTGTTTCAATGTTTTTCTTTCTGATGAACAAGACAAACTTTCTATTTAAGTCCTAAGATGTGTTCAACTCTTGAGTCCTCCATTTATCATTCATTTTCTGCACTCCTCACTGTCACATGTTCCTAATGTCGTCACTGTTATTTTTTTTCTTATTCTCGTCTCTGTTATTTGTTCTTATACTCAGTACTGTTACTTATTGTTCCTCCTCTAGTAACTCTTCCTTGGTCCTCCACTCATCACTGTTGTTTAGTGATCGTTGCTCGTTCCTCTACCTGTCACTGTAGCTTGTACCTTCTCTCGCACCTATTGTTTATTTACTGTTACTTATTTTTCCTGTCATTGGTGTTACTTGTTCATTGTTATTTGTTCCTCTTCCCATTATAGCTACTGTAACAAGAGGAGGAACTGTTCACTGTTCACCTAAACACTCAGGAGCGTCACTTGAAGACCTTTAAGGAATGGTGCCAGTGAGAGATACGTTTAATACTTGTCTTGTGTTACCTGTTACTTACCCCATACTCCTTCACTCCCCCATCAGGAGCTGCAGGTGACGGTGACGGAGGAGTGGCTGGCTCGCGGGGCGATGGTCCTCACCTGCCAGGTGCAGGTCTCCTCTATCTATCACAAGACAGCCAACGTCACGCTCATCCACGCTGACTGGCCCCAACCCGCTGAGTTCGGCTGGTTCTCCTCAGGTAGGTGAAGCCCCCTGGCTTTCGCCTGCTCCTTTTCACTGGCTCTAGCTGGGATCCTCTCTAGGAGGCGAAGCCCCTTGGGCTCATTAGTGTAGTTCAGTTCTCCTCGGGTAGGTGAAGCCTTAGGCCATATGGTTTTCTCCTGCCCGATAACTAGGACTTTCTCGTGTATATACATAAAACCTCTGGCTACTTGGCCCCTAGTTATATCACCTGCCCCTTGATAGAGCATCTGTCCCTACCCCTCCATACATGCTCTTTCTCTTCTCTCAAAATATTTTCAAAGCGAATGAATTAATGTGAATATACAATTTCCCTTTTTCTTAAAGAGGCAACGAAACTTAATTTGGTAATATTGCAAATAGCAAATAGTTGGGGTATTGTCTGCAAGTCACGGGTCGAGGCATGGGAGAGAGAGGGAGAGATGGAGGGAAGGAGGAGCTGCGCTGAGATACTCACCTCCTTCAAATATTCGTTAATTGTTGCGTATCCCACCTAATGTCAAAATATTTCTCCTTCGTGTTATTGCGATTTCTTTATTCATTAATTTGTTTTGTTTCCGATTGTCGGGAACAGGTAGGCTTTTAGGCTGCTCCTCGAGGGGCTAACAGACCAACTTCTGACTTTCCCAAGATTTACCTTACACCAGTTATCAATCACCCGGGTGTATATTTATGGCTTGGGGAAAAAAAGAGGTTTCTGGTGAAGGGAAACGTTACCTAAACGCTTCTGTCCTATTGTGACATTTCGACCCAGGATCAGGATATTTAGTTGTATGTTTAACTGGATGTTTAACGCAATACTAAATTGGCTGTTGAACTGAATGTTGGACTGAAAGTTGAACTGCATGTTATATTTGGATGTTTAACTGGAAGTTTATCTGACTGCCTAAGTGGATGCTTAATGGCATGTTTAATTTAATATTTAATGCGATGTTCAACTTGATAATTAACTAAGGGCTTAATTGGCTGTTAATTAGATGTTTAGATTTAGAAGCTCTGTTCGTAACTGGATGTTTAATTGGAAGGACAGTCATCGTTGACAGCAGGAGTTGCCTTAATCTGAGGGATTACCTTAGGTGCATGAACAGGGTTTTAATGAGGGAGGACTGGGGAGGGGGAGAGGGGAATGGTTGGGGAAGGAAGCTGTTGGTACATAGTAGGAGGGGGCGAAGAGGTGGGTTATATTTATATATATATATATATATATATATATATATATATATATATATATATATATATATATATATATATATATATATATATATATATATATATATATATATATATATATATATATATATATATATATATATATATATTGTTGTGAAGAAATTGAGGTCCCAGGGACTGAAGACCAATACAACCCAACGTAATGTTAAGCTTGAGAGTCAGTAGATTTGCTCAGCAATAATATTACAATTGACAACCAACAATAAAGCTTCTTCATTGTGTATAAATTATCTCTCATACCAGCTGGTGAAAGGTTCGAGCTGTCGCCCAAGATCTGAAACACGTTCCATGCCAAAGACAGAGGCTCAGGAACTGAAACCCAATAGTAATTTAAAACAAAAATGATCATCAGTATTGCAAATCAGTCGTGATATGCAAATATGCAGCAACTTGGATCCTAAACTGGAAGGTTGCAAGCCGCAATGTCTGTGCACGTCTAAAAGGACAGGTGGGCTCAGCCCCAGCTGACGACCAGGGGGGGGTAGAGGGAGGGCTCAGCCCCAGCTGACGACCAAGGTGTAGAGGGAGGGCTCAGCCCCAGCTGACGACCAAGGTGTAGAGGGAGGGCTCAGCCCCAGTTGACGACCAAGGTGTAGAGGGAGAGCTCAGCCCCAGTTGACGACCAGGGTGTAGAGGCAGGGCTCAGCCCCAGTTGACGACCAAGGTGTAGAGGGAGAGCTCAGCCCCAGCTGACGACCAGGGAGGTAGAGGGAGGGCTCAGCCCCAGCTGACGACCAGGGAGGTAGAGGGAGGGCTCAGCCCCAGTTGACGACCAGGGTGTAGAGGGAGGGCTCAGCCCCAGCTGACGACCAGGGAGGTAGAGGGAGAGCTCAGCCCCCAGCTGACGACCAGGGGATAGAGGGAGGGCTCAGCCCCCAGCTGACGACCAGGGAGGGGGTGGAGGATGGGGGGTCAGGAGTGAGAGGCGGCGGCTGACGACAATATTGTGAGGTTCTAATTGAATTTTCTGGCGAGAAAGGATAAATAAATTGGGTGGCGAGAGTCGTCCACGTGTACCAATGGATAAAATTCCTTCTACATAATTCTGCAGCCAGTAATTAGTTCTCTTTTCTCTCTTCAACAGGTTCATCTCCGCAGTGCTCCTTGCTGCTACTGCTGCTCCTGTCCGCTGTGACGCTGTGACGTTGTGCTTCCTACTGTTCCTGTCTGCTGTGACGTTGTGTTCCTTACTGTTTATGTCTGCGCTGACATGTGATTTACTGCTCCCTGCTGCTGCTGTCTGCTGTGACGTTCTTCTGGCTACCGTGACGATGAGAACAGAGCCCCTCTGACATAGCATCGTGACGCAGATCTCCCTCCGCCTACTGCTGCCTTATATGAAGCTCTTCTGTCTGCTGTAAACGCAGCGCTCCCTGCTTCGGTGCTGCATGCTCTGACAGTCTCTTGTCTCCTGTTATTTTGTTTTCTAGTTGCTGTTTCCTGACGTGACACCGTTTCCAGTGGCACTTTTCTTCCTGCTGAGCCGCTGTGTGGTGCTTCTCTCTCCTGAGATTCCGGCAGGGTAGGGGAGTGCGATACTATAATGAATTATATAACGGCCTGGCGGCAAGGGAGCGTACCCCCTGGCAGCTATAGGGAGCGTACCCCCTGGCACCTATAGGGAGCGTACCCCCTGGAGACTATTGGGAGTGTACCCCCTCTGACATTCCTTGACCTAGCGTGGGGTCGAGTGTGTAGCGGCACTGATATTATACTAATACCAATGGAGTGCTAAGTCTCATGGCGTGAGAGCGACGTGAAGTGATGTTGGTAGTGTATTGCCATTATCTCCTGAGTGACGGTACTGGTCTGCGTCAACTTCTATGAAGACAAATTGACGATTAATAAGGGTTTCTGTCCGCTGGGGCCGTGTGATGTGATGATATAGCAGTTTTGTGACGCGTTAGAAATACATTTGGCTTAACGGTGAGAGATTAGCATTGATGTTATAATGGTGATGGGATGTTACAATGTTAGTTTACAAATGTTGAAGCTTGAAACACATAGAAGATCATGAGATGATTGGGTCGAGATTATAATAATTTACACTGACGTTGTTCATTGTCTCCCACATAACTGTCGAGTCACATTGTTGAACGTCTCCATCCCTTGCGGCAGTACTGAGAATCCCAGAACACTTGTTCATCTCCAACTGCAGAACTCTGCATACCAGAACACGTGTTCATCTCCTGCTGCAGAACTCTGCATACCAGAACACGTGTTCATCTCCTGCTGCAGTAGTCAAATTCTCTAAACATGGAAGACTTTACTAATCTAATGATAATCACTGACTCCCTGTCATACCAGTTAATATTAATGTTTTATTTCTCTCCCCTTGCTTAATCCTTCTATCGTCCCCTTCACCCCACGTTTAATTGGCCTCTTCTCATCGTTCTCAATCTCTCTTTGTCTGTCTCTTTGCGTCTGTCTGTCTCTCTTTGTCTCTGTCTCTTTGTGCTAGTATTCCTTTTTATCTGTCTATCTGCGTCTGCCTCACTTTGTCTCTCTCTTCGTCTTTGTTTCTCTCTCTCTCTTGCCATTTGAGTCTGTCTCTGTGACAGTTCCTTTTTGTCTGTGTGTCTGTCTCTTTCTCTTCGTGTCTGTCTCAGCCTCTCTTTCTCTCGCGTGTGCTCCTACTTCGTAATTTAGCCTGACGTCACGGTGGTTTCCGCCTCACAACACGCTGTTGTAAACGCTTGAGTGTCCGTTGCTCAGTGACAGTACGCTGCGTTTCTCCTTTTCTTACACTTCCTAAATGAGTAAGACTTATGTCCCTCCTTTCTCTGTGCACCGCCACCTACCTCTTATGCATTTCCTGTAATCTTTGTTTTATTTTCACTGCGTTCGCTGTCATTCTTATTTCACCCTTTTATATTTCATGTTTGTTTAGAGCCTTGCTCTAACTTTATTTTCTTGGTGTTTCGTTACTTTCTTCTCCTATACTTACTTCCTCAGATCTAGGCAGTGTCTGGGATGCTCCCGGACGCTGGTTCGAATCCTCGTCACGGCCCTTGAGGATTTGTTCGTTTCCTCAGATCCTCCTTACTTTCAGGACTAGTTTTTCTTGTACAGTGTCAGGGTCTTTCAGACAGATGTAAATTGTTTTTTTTTTGCTCAATGCTCAATGATATATATATATATATATATATATATATATATATATATATATATATATATATATATATATATATATATATATATATATATATATATATATATATATATATATATATATATATATATATATATATATATATATATATATATATATATATATATATATATATATATATATATATATATATATATATATATATATATATATATATATATATGTTATGAAAAAGAATGACTATTGCAGTGGCGAACGTCTTAAATTAGTTCCTTAATTTAAAACAGCACGTTACGATTCGAACTCTTCACGTGTTCATCATCAGATCCTAAAACTTTGAATACAATTAAACAAAAGATTCTAAACAATTAACTTATTTCAAAAAATATCAAACAAGGAAGCAAATTGTAAATAGTCCAATTGGCATTGGTCACTTGTTTGATAATACAAACATTTGTTCAGGTTTCAATAGAAAATAGTTTAGGAATACTTTGGATCTGTCACTCCAAGACTCAGTCCTTAGGTTGGACAACAAATATTTTAAACAAATTGATGGATTTGCAATGGGGTCTCCGTTGTGACCCATACTTGCTATTATAGTTTTATATTTTCACGAGAAGAGGTGACTGGAATATCCTCTTGATTTTAAACCCGTTTTTTATAAAAGATATTTTAACGACACTTTATATTAGTTAAATATATTGCTCGAAATCATAAATTTAATGACTGTCTAAATGCACAACACCACAATATAAATTTCACTGCAGAGGAGAAAATTACAAACTCTTTGTTATTTCTCCGTGTTAAAATAGCCAATATTATATGTTTTAGCAGTTATGTGTAAAGAAAACCAACATTCACGGGTGTAGGTCTAAATTTCAATTAACTTTTAACCAAGATCTTAAAGAAGAATGCAAAAAATACTTAGTCAAATTGTGTCTTTGGTTTATGTTCCACTTGGTCCCATTTTGATTTCGAGATAAATTCCCTGACGAAATTCTCTTCAGACAATGGCTACCCTTTTTCATTTGAGATAAACTTATATAAAAAAAATTGTCCAGCCATTTAGATTACCACGGTAAAAAATAAGATATGTGATATGAAGCTGCCCTTCTATAGTTTTATTAGCTATTCGTTCAGGAATCAACTGAGGAAATTGCTGCAACAATGTTATCCTCAAGTGGATTTTAGATATATTTTGATCACTATGAATAATATTTAATCGGACTCCAAATTTAAGGACAAGGTGTCCACCCATTTATGTTCAAGTTTCGTATATTTATACAACTGTTGCAGCTGCAAAGCTGGATATATTGACAGCTCGATTACGAACTTTTTAATCAGGATATGGGAACATAAATGGGTGACTTTTAGGACAGGTTTGACGCTGTCAAAGTCAACATTTTCTAAAATCACGAATTACTCTCGTGAAATGAACCACCCGTTTTCATGGTTCTAATTTAAAAACTGTTGATACATGTAAGAACACGTATCAATGAGGATAACGGAGTCTTTACATATCAAACATCAGTGGCCTTTGTTAAACATCGGTACCTCAGTGGTGCAACTGTGCACTCTTTATATGTTATGAAAGTTCCCCCCTTGATTATTTTTGTGTGTATTTTATTTGCCAGGAATTAATTTTGCATGTAATAATTGGTTCATTTTTCTTTATCTTGTTGACTGTTGGATATAAAAAACGATTTAATATAATTTTTGTGTAATATTTTACTTTTTCAAGTATTTAATAGAGGTTTATATTTTATATATTTTCGTTTGGTTTTGTATAAATAATTAAAATCGCTATAGTTTTGTAGGTACAACTTCAAATAAGTGTTTGTGGTATTTTTTTTTTCTTTCATAAATGTCAATTCCTACTTTGGTAGATCAATCATGTAAGTAGGATTCCATTTGTGATTTTTGTTTTGTATATTTAAGTGTCAATACTTTCTGTTACATTGTAGTAAGTTGAATTTTTATGTATTTTGGACTCCTTGTAATTTGCTGCCTCTTTCGATGAATTTTATTTAAATGAGTTAGTTTTGGCGAATCTTTTGTTTACTTGTGTTCCTTTTCTTAGATGTAATGATGAACACGTGAAGTGTTCGAAACTTAATATGGGTTTTATGGTACTACATTATGAAGATGTTAGTCACGGCAATAGTCATCCTGTTCGAAAATAAATTAATATTCTCAAGAGGAACCGCCATCATGAATATATAAACAATTATTAAGAGATGAGGCTCATTTCCTACACTTAGCTTCTTGGTTCTTAGTTTAATGTTTACTGAATGGGACTAATTAAAGTCCCGCTGATGATTCGGGTCGACCTAGCAAGATCTGTCGCTGAAAAATAAGTCAATGACATGTTAATCGGATTGCTCGTTATTGGGCCATAGGGGGCTATGCTACACAAACGGAAAGCTATAGCGAAACTTGTGTAATTTACTCGGAGAGCTACAAAAAAACTTACATTCATCACGTGGCATACCCTAAAGGTATAAAAACCGTGAATCTTTATACTTCTATTTATGTTTTACTGCCCAATCTTAATTTAGCTTCGCTAAGTGCTTTGCATTGCTCATCTAAAATATAGGCAGGAATTTTGGAAGTTAGACAAAACATCGGAGTTTTGTAATATGACTACTGACCAGTGGTTGTATACACTTCGATTAATAATATAACAGGAAATCCTCTACCATCTTTATACAAACAAATTTGTATACTGTCAAAATTAACTATTTGTAATGTTTAACTCTTTGCTATACATAGTCTGACGGCGACCCAGGATATCTCTCAAGCATCTTAATATATATATATTTCAGTCTATTTGACTCAAGAGAAACAATAAATTTCAGGACAAAATATATAATTGATCTCTGAAAATAAATTTTCAGTGAAATCAGCAGAAGTGTTCAAACTCTAGAACGATTAAAAAATGCACAGATATGCAACTTGAATTGCACTAGTATTTTCAGCCCTTGATTCATCTTTTTGTAACACTAAATGCTTGAAATTGCATTTTTTATCTGGACCTGCGCATTCAATGACGGTTGACTGGACCTATGCATGCATTGGTGTTCATCTCTTCCAGCTCAGCACAAACTCTGGAATCCTTGCAAGAAAGACTGCAGTAATTTAGGGTCATACTGAGGGTGTTCTTATTACTAGTCATCGGATGTATGAAGATTATAACAAGTGTGTGTTATTGGACCCAAGAATCTAAGATTCTTTATTATTTTTTATTACATCACATTTAATTGCAAATTACGCCCTTATGCAAGAACGTGGAAGGTCGAGGCTGGGTATTTATCTTGATCTCGAGGACTTTAGAGTCATCAATTAATCTTAGACGAAGTTCATCTCTAGTGACCATTGGGCTGCCGGTGAGCGAGGGAAGAGACAGGAGAGGGGAGACAAAGGAAAAAATGAGGGAAGAGAGTGAAGATTTGTGAGAGGAAAGAGAAGAGTGAGGGGAGAGAGAGAGAGAGAGAGAGAGAGAGAGAGAGAGAGAGAGAGAGAGAGAGAGAGAGAGAGAGAGAGAGAGAGAGAGAGAGAGAGAGAGAGAGAGAGAGAGAGAGAGAGAGAGAGAGAGAGAGAGAGAGAAAGAGAGAGAGAGGGAGGGAGGAGGAGGAGGTGGTGTAGGTCATATCTCACACTTAAGCTCATCTCATATATGTGTAAGTGTAACTGTCTCATATAATTTAATGTACATGAAATATGTTTGTGGCTAGATGAACCTCTATGGCATGAACTTTCCTCCTTGTAGAAATGGCCGCTTCTTTTAAATATGGATATTTTTTTAATAAGTATAATGGACATATTTTCCTGAGGTATGATATGTGAATGAAAATACCTACAATATATATTTTTCAGAAACACCAGGTGGCATTAATCACGCAGAAATTATGGATAGTAGAGTATATTGAGATGATTTATACACATGAATGAATCAAAGCATTGAAGGGTTATTGAGAAAGATATTGAGTACTCACCAAATGTTATAAAAGGGTTAATTAATCCAAGTGACTGTTAATATCATTCATGACGGGACTCGATGTCACATGTGTGCAGAGTTCTAGACGTGGTTGTAAACAGGATCTCAGGCCCGGAAAGTGTTGGGAAAAATCATTTCTAAAGGAGCGTTAATTTGTTGCCTATTTGTTTTCACACCAAACTAAATTTTGCACATAGGTAATTAGCCTTAAATAACGACAATGGCAAAACATACGTTGCCAGCTCAACCTGTGCTCGGTTGGACAACCAGCACGAGTACAACAGCTTGGGGCTGCATATATAAACAGTTCTGCTCGCTCGCTATCCACCACAGCCTCTCTGAGCCCTGAGCCCCACCCCGTAAGGGATGACATGTAATATATATATCTATTTATCTTAAGGTTAACACGGCGCAACACAAAAGTTCCCCATTACCTCACCCTCGACCGGAACATTGTATTTAATCTTGGTATCTCGCGCCTCAGGTTATGGCAGGAGTTGTAAGAAATAAATCCCAGACGTAGGCGATTTGTGGCTGATATTAAAGTAGGGTCTGGGGCAGCCATTCTCCCGCGTTACTGTGTAATGTCGGGAATAAAACCGTAAATTTTATACCCCACCATGATATATATTTAATTTCCGCCTCGCCGGCCACTTATTCCTGATGGGACCCGGGGG